CAGCTGGTTTGGAAACTCTTAAAATAGGCAGCGCTCAGCACTCTTTCTATTTAAAGTGAAAATAAGATTTAATCCTCCTGAGAAAGACTATGCTCCTCCTGAAACTGAGCTCTGGTGGTCCACTGATTAGGAAAATAGACTCCACTGTAAAATGAGAAACACCACTCGTTTCACGTAAATCGCTTTTCACTTGCATGTTAAAAGAGATGACCATTTTCATTGGGTATGCTATATTTCCTACACAACTTTCAAAATCCTAGAATTCACTAAGGCTTAATTTAATTTGCCCTGCAGGTTGTAAACTGGATCGGGGGACATTAAGCTCGAGGAGAACACAAAACCTCAAAATAAAAATAAATGGAAAGGAAAAAAAACCCGTGGAATTTGCTAATGGCTGTGCTCACTGACCCAGGCTGTCTACAACAAGCAACGCAAACGTACAACAATGTGCGTCTCTCTCCATTTCAAGAATGGACACGCCGACAAATCACCCGGCTCCGTTCGGTTTGTACGCCCATCTTTCCCTCTCAAAGTTCGCTATTAAACGTGTCTGCGATATCTGCATTCGCAAATACGCGGCCTCACGAAACCAAGGAGCGCAGCGAGGCGAGGTCAAGCAGAAAACGATGTTTCTATTTGGTATAAATCCCATAAGTGGATGTTCTGTTTGAATTTTACATCCTGGGTTTCTGTATCACCTGCTGCCTCTCTTTTCTCCACCATGCTTACTTTCTGTTTCCCAGGTCACTAATTGGTGATTGTAGCAGTTTGACAGGAGGTGACAGGCTGTTTTGCTGTCGAGCTCTGTGTGTTATCATGTGAAAAGTTTTCATTGCTAATTTACATAATATTCCTTTGGGGAGGAGTGAAGGAGCTCACACTAGGTTTTCTTTGATAGCCCAATTGATCCTTGACGCTGATTAGTGTGGAGAGACAATTACAAGAGGCAGGGAACCGTTATGAGAGCGAAACAGAGTACGCTTTACTAATTTGATTATTCAATATATTTCGGAAGGTTTCCATTGTGAAAATTATTTCTTTCATCGGTTGGAACTTTTTCCCACGTTTCATTGCCGATTAATTGAGGGGATACAGTGGGACAAACCTTTTGAAATGACATCGGCCCATTCCAGAACAACGGACACACCTCTTACATAGGCAAGAAGTAAATGTATATTTTTTTATATTTCAGACACCCAAGAAGATGCGTTTGACAAAAGAGCAAAGAATTGAAGTCATACTGACGGCCGGATCGGGAAGCGGTCGCATGGCTGCACGAAACTTTAACAGAAAACATGGAACGAGCATCAAACACACGACACGGTGGCAAAACTTGTTTTCAGGTTTCAGAAAACTGGAACTGTCGCAGATCAACCAGGAAGTGGTCCAACACATGCAGCGATTACACAGAGTCCTACAAAAATAAAAACGGTTGTCCGATAAAATATATGTATGGAGACTTTATGGCCCACCTTGTAGAATCTGGTTGTAATTCATAGTTGAAGTCTTAAAGTTTTCATTCAGTGTGTGCATGGGGGTTTTCCTGGTACTCTCTTCCTGTCTTTGGCCAAAAAACAAGGCGGGTTATAGGTCAAATAGATATTCCTTGGTTTTAATCAACAAGATGACACATGTAAAAAGTTTTTCATTGCAATATGATAAAATGTGAAGCTATTCAAGACAAATGAAAATCCTCACAAGGCGCTGCACAGCCATAATTTCTCAGATCTGAACTGGAGTGTGATTTTATGGCTGTGGGACGTAAAGGGAACTCAGATCTATGATCAAACCCCTGAAAGTTCAAGAGCTTTTTTTACAGCCTCATAGGCCATATCTCATCCTCCTATTTGTCTTCAACACGCTCTCTTGGAAGCTGTTCCTTCTTGCAGCTTTGGGAAATTGGGTTCCCTCAGAGCAAATCTCGCTCTGTGACTATTTGCTCTCATTTAGTTGATTATGTAATGTTTCAGGCACTCAAAAAGGTTAACAAAATTTCTTTCTAAAAGATGCTTAGACCACCAGTTTTAGTTGCAGCTTAACTAAAACTAGAAAACATTTTTCATTAACTGGATAAAATCAAAATGGCAATCAATGTGGGGGGGAGGGAGGGGTGGTACAACTAACTGGAGCTACATCAGCATTTTGAACTGATGTGAAATCGTTTTCACTTTTCTCCGATACAAGCGGTTTACGTCAGCAGTCGGCAAATTACGGTACTCCATAAGCGCCGGCACTTGCACTACTTCGCAAAATGGCGACAGCAAAAGTTGGAGGGAAAACGTCGGAGTCGGTTGGTTGTTCGACAGTAATTGAATACATTCTTTATAAAAATGGTATTGAGTACTCATTACCCAATCAACATACACATGAACGCAATGAAGCATCAACCAAAGGATAAAAAAAAACTAACTAATATCTAATAACAGCTAACAAAAACTAGCAAGTGTGTTCTTACTGAGTTAAGAAAAAGTCACAATGAAACTAAACTGACATAAAAAATAAACTTAAAACAAAGACGATGTTCCACATCTGGATAGAGATTGGTGTTCTCGTAATTTTGATCGACTCATTCTGTCTGTAAGTGGCTGAAATTGATCCTGTGATCTCGGGTGTGCGGGTAGCAGTTTCTCCTCTCTTCTTTAACTGCATGTCGCACCGATGGAGCACACGCTGTAGTTAAAGGACTGTCGGGCACCAATTCGCCAGGAGCATTGAGCTTTACAGAGCCCTGATGTGATTTTGGTCAGACTGAGGTGTGGGATGGGGAGCTCTGGGACGTTGTGGCTCCGCTTTCGTGGCACGGTAAAAATCTTTCCTATCGGCTGCAGAACAGCAATCTCTGTCAGAGCCAGATGGGACAATCGAGTGAAATCCTCTCCATCTTTCACTTTTTTCCCCCAGCATCTGGTTGGTTCTGTGTGACAAAAGGAAAAAGGCCCGGGCGCGACGAGCTATCTATTAAACTGACATCACCGGCGACTCGGGTAATTGCTTCACACGTCCCGTTTGATTCCACTGCAGATGGACTGACTGACGAGACGGGTCCAGTCAACCCACAGTGACTCATCCTGTCCAAAATGACGGCGCAGCACACACTTCGCTTGCCTGGACGTGGCGGCGGCGGTGATAATGATGCTGATGCTGCTGATGATGATGAGGATGAGTGTGCGCTGGTTTGAAAATAAAACGTCGCCTTAGGGGAGGAAATACTAAATGAATAGTGACAAGCGTAAAAAGTGGGTTGTCAGATGTTGTGAGGTTCAGTCACATATACCATCACAGTGTAAAAGTTTTCATTCTGAATGTTTTGAGAGATAAGAGAGGTTACTGCGGCAAATGGTAATGTTGTTTTGAGACCATTTTCAAGCGATACAACGGCATAATAATGCAAGTACAATCTCTCAAAGGTCAGTACACTTTGATTTCCAACAAATGCTTCCCTCTGGAACTGGAAGACATTTTAAACATCCAAAATAAATACACAAAACAAAGAAAATGCCCACTGAAGTCTCTGTAATCACAGTTATTCTTGGGGGGGATAAAGGGTTGGGGGTTAGTTGAGACCAATGTATCAAACTGAAGGTATTTTTTGTCATTCAGCAAATGGAAACACCAAAGAATGGGTTATTGGAGACAACATAGAAATATAATTGTGTGCTCAAGAGGGAGCTTACATAAGCTGCAATGTAATATGAAATTCTTTGTTTTATTGACAGTAATCAATCATAAATTCATCTGCCCAGACATCCAATTTCTCTCTCTCCACCAAGGCAAATAGTCTTTCTAGATGTTAGATATTAGATCTTGGATATCTACATATTTTTGGATTTTGAGGTCACGTTTGGGAGAGAATATGTGTGTTATTTTATAAACCACTGAATGGTTTAGCGCCATAATACATTAAAAACCTGCCGTTGTTGTTGTCGTATCGACCCTCCAGACCTCTCAGGTCTTCTGGGTCTGCTCTGCATCCCCAGAACCAGAACCAAACATGGAGACGCAGCATTCAGTTTCTGTGCTCCTCTAAACTTCCAGAAAACCGAGAAACAGCCGAAACACAGACTTCCTCTAAATCACGTGTCAAACTCAAGGCCCGGGGGCCAAATGCGGCCCGCCATAGCTTTTTATGTGGCCCTCTACAGTCTAGACTAAACACTAAGTGTGATTAAATGTTATATTATCAATCATATCAATGCAGTTTTTATCTGTTTACTGCCAATTTATATCGATCAATCCCTCCAGTTTCTTGAGAATTCAGTTGGTGTATGATTTTAGTCCATGATTTATACAGCGAGTCAATAAACGGTCGCATTTATTATTAGTTCCTGAAGGGCCTGAAAAGATGTTCAATAATATTATGTAATTTTAAGAATTTATTGACATATTAACAGTTTGTGAACAGGTTTTATCAACACATTCTGGCACAACCGGCCATTTAAGAGCCTTCATGATCTTGATTTGGCCCAAAACGAAAATGAGTCTGACACCCCTGTTCTAAATCAAACTCACCTGTGGTCGACGTATTTTTTGGTTAATGATGACATTTGACAAAATGTAATGTTTCTTTCTTGTTTCATAACTGATGGTTGAAGTGATATACAAATAGACATTAATTATTGTGTGTGCAACATTATCACCCATGAAACACAGCATCTACACAAGATAACATGTAACTGATTTTTTAAATTTAACCAGCTATATAAGTACTGACTAGAAAAAGGAAGCACGTTATAAAAAGGAATACACATCAATACCACGACAGAAGGAAATATGATGTGTTCAGATGGAATATTTACCAAACATATCCTGTTTAGTGAAAACCCCTCAGATTGTGTGTTTTAAAACATCACTTGATTTTGAGAAGAGGGTGAAACTGGTCGTGAGTTTTGAGCAGGAAGTGCTGCAGCAATGCTGAGCTCCAACGGTTTGTTTCTTTTTCTGACCAAAAAACAAAAGCATTTCTGTAGATTTGACTAAAGTCTGTGTTTATCCCTTTCCAGCTGTGGGTCTGAAACGATCCAGAGAACAGCCTCCGCTCCATGACAACATCTTAAGCTGTGGACCATGTACACCGTGGACCGGATTACGGATGAGAGCCAGTCCCTGTGGAGTCCGACCCACACGAAGCACCAGCTTGACTTTGAACTGGCTGTTTTGTTCAGGTGATCATTTCAACACGCAGCCTGCAGCAACCTGAGCACCGCCATGACACCCAACGCCTCCCCAAACACGGCTGATAAATTAACATGGAATTGGCCCAAATCGCACGTCAGCCTCTCTCTCACACAACCTCCTAAAAAAACGCAGATATTTTTCAGGCCTCCTGTTGTTTTGTTAATGAGTGGCTACAAATGAATCTTTTTGCTATTGGTATCATTCAATAAAATGGTAATACTGATTTTTTGATGCTTTATTCTAGATTTGGTTCCGATTTTCTCCTTTTGTGGACTTTGTTTATAGTTTGTTTGTTTGTTTGGAGGCATTGTCCGTTTGGACGGTCGTTCCTTCTGGATGCTGTGCAACTAAAACGATTCTTGCTCTTCACAGTGATTACGATGCATCAACGCGACAACAAGTTATCGTTTTCTCCTAAATTGAACAAGCAAAGACAAACCATTTATCGTTTCAAACGTTTTTCTCTTTGCTCTTCAGTTTCCGCTGGAAAACATGTCATGAAACTGAACTGAATTTAAAAGCTGGATGACTTCTTTCTTCTTCATTTTCCAAGAGGAAACGTCCCCCACCAGTTTAATCCTCAACTTTCTGTCCACCTATCCGTTTATTTTCAGCCGGATAATCACACAGACGAGCTGCCGGTCCTCCCTGACGCTCTGAAAGTAATTAACTCCTCAGCGCTTTAGTGAAAGCGCTGTGCCATTTAAAGTGCCATTTGAGAATTTCTATTATTATATTAGAATTAAAAATTCAGAGTTAATATAACAAGCACAATAGTCCAGACTCCCCTGACGTAAAACATTCCTCCTCTTGTCTCGCGCCTGACAGCCTGCGTGGCGTCCTGTTGTGCCAGACTGTGAAATGATGACTTTGTCAGCGGCGTGCGGAGCCCCCCGACCCCCAAGCGGGAGGGGAGATGAAGGAGAGACGGCGGACGAGGGGAGAGGTTTATTAATGATGAAAGCGGCTGGATGGGGACCACTTGCTACTTGGGCTGCTTGTCAGGTACAGCTGCTCTGGACTCTGGGGGTGACTCACTTCACCATTATCTCCTTGATACAAAGTCAGTGGCAGCAGCAGCTGTTTTGTCCGCCTGTCTTCAACAGAGCTCTGTCGAAAGGCTGGCTGATTTTTAAAGCTCCTCACCGAAGAAAGAAGAGAGATTCTGGCCACGTCTTTTATGCAGAATGAATTCAGACGCAATGGATCGTTTCCAACTGTAAAGACCCTGTTCAGGGATATGCCAAGTGGCACACCCAGAAACTGTCCATATAGGGTGCCAGACTGGATTTTAAGGTGCCTCCCAAACCTGCCCCCATGTATTGGGGGCAGAGTCTGCATCATGGCAGGTTTTAAGTTCGGTCTTTGACTCTGAAATCAACATTTTTTTTTTCATTAAGCACATTTATCTTCGAAATGTCAAACTCTGCAGTTTTACCGTTTTTGGAAACCATTCGCTCACTGTGTGCTTACAAAAACACAAAATCTCTTCGTCTCGTTTTTAGTTCATTTATTTAAGGTAAACAAATTCTTGAGTAAAGACGAAGATTCAATTGGCAGATTTTTTTTTTTTTTTTTACTATACCAGGACATATTTTGTGCGTTTTAAGTGAACTTATTGCTTTTTTAACATGCTTTTTTCCCCCCAAAGAATTATTGACTTTAAACAAGTGTCCATATCTTGCTTGTACATTTAAAGTAGTCGTGTTTTACTTGAAGTGTACAGAATTACATGAACTAGGAACTGGACAAAAAGACTTGGTGAGAGTTTGTGTTTTTGCAGCGTGGATCAAAAAAAAAAAACTTAGAAATGACTCACGAACTTAGGTCATTCTTGTCTGATATAATTTATTTGATGATCTAAAACAAACAAACAAAAAGAAAACTTAAGAAGTCGTTGAAAGGGGAAATAGCTTCTGTCACTGGCACAGCAGATGTATGTCTCTGTTTCCTCGCAGAGCGTCGAGAGAAAGTCTGTTTATTTGCTTGAGAGGCCATGGCTCATTTTCCTCATGCAAATGAAGGCTGCAGGCAAAAGAGGAAGGCAAATGCTATCGGCTCGCCGTCAGTCCTGAGTGGAAAATGTTGTGCGAGTGGCGCAAGGACCAGCACAGTCCCCCAGTGTGCACCAGAGCCGAGAAAGAGGGAGGGGTTTTCCTTTTGTCAGACGAGCTCTGTTGTTTCAGGGGTTTCTCTCTTGACGTTTGTTAGACTAAAGTCAGTCCTGAGAAACACGGACAACCCCTCTCACAGCGCCGCTCCACACCGCTGGAGGCGATCCCATCAACTGCATTGCTGTTTTAGTGACGTGTAGCTCTTGATTCTTCATTGCACTTCTGAGTCGCCAAGAGATAAAGACTGTCCAAAGTGATGTGGGGCGGGGACTTGTTCCCGTTTGGCTTCCGGGAACGTCAGGGAGACAGGTACCATCCTCAGGACAGCAGTTCTGGAAGTTACATAAGCTCCAGAAATAAATACTCCACTTTTCCTGCTGTGAGAGAAGAGGCCAGCTGCGAGCAAGGACAGATCTGGAGCATGATGTTCCTTTGTGCTTATGAGGTCCCAGTCCAGCACTGGCGATGTCCGACTGAAGACCCTTTTTTTTTTCTTTTCTTTTCCCAAGTCCGCATGCGGTGAGGAAGTAGTGCTGCAGTAACCTCACATCCAGGATAAGGAGAGGGAAAGAAAATATGGAGAACAATTTCTTTTTTTTAACTATTACTTCCACTTGGTTGAATAAAATCTTCTGATGAATCTGCAGAACAGTTCGGTCTCTGCTACTGCAGTGGCAAACAATTACACAGGAATGAATGCAACAATCAAATCATTAGCCGAGTCACGGCTTACAGTTGTGTGAACCGTAAACTGGTTGACAGTTGTGCAACCAGGTGATGTCACCTTTAAAAAAATAAAAAAAAAAATCCCAAAAAGTTGACCTTTTCTTCTCTGATTGTTTCTAAATACATAAATTGTGCAGGACATGCTGAGCTGCAAAAACAGAAGTATGTTTGGTCCAAATAACTTGGCGCATTTGAAATAAGACAAAACTAACATACAAGTACATTTTTAGCAAGAAATGGGAGCTTGTTTTTAAGTCAATAATTTCTCAATATTGACTTGGATAAGTACTAATTCCACAGGAAGATTATTTCACTTGTAATATACAAAATTGCAGCCGGAGCAACAAGTACTTTTGCATCAATGTTAAATAATTATCCACTTAAAACAAGCTCCTATATCTTGTCAAACAGTTATATGTCATTAGTTTAGTTTTATTTCAAGTGTACTAAGATTTTCTGGGAAGTAGACCAAAAATAATTTGTAAAATGTTGTGTTTTTGCAGTGTGCATGTGGTAAAAGTATTTATTTTGACCTTTTGACCACGAGTGCATACACTTTTCACAGCCACTCCAAGATAGAAATGTTTTGGTAATGACTGGGTCAGTGGTGTCAGAGTGAGACACTGAACAATAACAGAAATTTTGAACAATAAAAGAATGAAGAAAATAAAATATAATTTAGCCCTAATTCATTAGTAGCTGTAATAATTGATAGTTAGTTCAACATTCTTTGATCGGCTGTGGATTTTGTGCCATGTGCTGGAAAAATTGTTTCCATTTTTCCAATTGCCTTGTCATTTCACGTCGCCGTCCAGGCTGGGAACCAAAGACCTTCCCAATTCAGGGTCGGTCCTCACGACTCAGCGGCTTCTTTTCAACATCACTACAGCGGACCAGACAACAACGTTCCTGGTAAAACTCCTTGAGGGAACCGGAGACGGAGACGGAGAGAGCTCAGCTGTCAGAGCTGCAGACGGTCTTGTTTACCGCCTGTTGTGCACCTTGCAATCCATTTCATTTCCCAGCAAGCACTGTCAGGCCTTGTTCAGTTTACAGTGGCGATTCCTCAGCTTTGTTCTGTGAATATGATTTGCATTTTGAACTGCTTATGAAATACTTAATACACTGCTGGTATGCACTCTCAACGTGTTGTTGGAGTAGGTACATTGGCAGTTTTTAATGAAATTTGTACGTTTTTACGGCCCTAGTTGCTAGCATCAGCTTCGCTAATAGAAGACAAAGCTTACGACCCAGCTGAATTAGTCACAAGTAGATGCTAAACGGCTCGTCCTTCTATAGAGCTTTCCCTCCAGATCGCTGAAGCTACAATGTAGCTAGAGAACACTGCTAACACCAGAGCCGCCGCTGCTACAGACGACTTCAAATTCCCAGTTGAAGCAAATATCGTGCCATTTGCTTCCATGTGTTTTGTTCAACAGTGCTAGGGGCGATGCAGTATTTTCAGCCAATGAACGTTCAGGTTCATCGTCCAACCGGTCGCCACGTGGTTGCATCACTTCTGTTCCTTTCAGTCTCTCGTGTGCTGTGCGATTCAAGCTGAGGTTGCAGCTAAGAAATGCCCTCACTCTTTGAAAGGGGAAGAACTGCATGCACAGTGATACCAAACAGTTCTTAAAGTTGTATTTCAGGTTACATTTTGCCGTAACTGGAGAATGAAAATAGAAGCGGTCAAATGTGGGGCCGAGCATAGAGTTGAGACGGAACAATGTGGAGGCATTGAGTAGCATCTGTGTGTGGATTTAAAGTTGCCAGTTGACTTAGGATTTCTGCCAGAGGAGGTCAGGATTTCTGAAGAAAACCTCGACGTGGAAACGACATTGTTTCAAGCTGCTTGTCTGTTTTACAGTACAAAAGCTCCTGATACACAAGTTGTATCCTGAGAACTGTTCTATGAGTTCCAGTTCACCTTAGTTCTTTGAAGCATTGGTTGGAAAAACAAACTTCTTCATATGCATTCTGTCTTTTTAACCCTTGAACAATGTAAGTTTGTAGCTGGCCCTGCTGATTTTGTAGCAATCGCTGTTCCAAGGTAAGCATGAAGCAACGGTTGAACGAAATTCTTTCCTTTTAACAGGAACAGAACCACAACTTAGCGTGATCTCTTCTCTTTGTTCGTATTCAGTGTAAGAAAAATCAGATAAAGGCTAAAGACATATTCTTTGATAAATCAATGGGGTTAATAAAGAATCCCATCATTTTGTGGTACATTTGGTTTTTGTTATTACATTTGGTTGTTAAATGAAACAATGAAAATTTGCACTAAGCTATTAGCTTAGCTGTGACTTGTTGATAATCCAGCTGCTAACATCTTGCAGTTTGAGTGAATCATGTCTGTTTAACTCATAGCCGAGTTGCGCTCCTGCCTCATAAAACTTGCAATGGGTTTTTGAACGTCATGAAATTTAACAGCGAGTGTTTCGGCTGCTCTCTGCACACCTGTGAACATCTGCACAGACATTCTCTCTTTCACTTTGAATGTAATGGGTGAAAAACAAACAGCGACGGTTATGGAAAAACCCCAGTATTATAGTAAGATCAGCAACCAATGCATGGTGTAGAAATAAATAAACAAGAATAGGTTGAGATTTGCAAAGTAATGAACTAAAATATTCTTAGTGATATTTACCAATTGTTATTATTTTTGACAAGTAAGTAATATATTGTGTATCATTATAACTGCATTTTTTTAAATCCATTTGTGTATAAGCAGTCTTCTGTGTCTTTTCTTATCTTAAATGATCACACTCTATCTTTTTCTCACTGATTCCTAAGAATTGTTTTCAAACTCCAGTGTGGTTCTTCTTCTTTTTTCTTTCTTTTTTTGTTTTTTATCCCAGATGAACTCTAACCTTCACTTTTTTTCCCCCTTTAATCAAATAGCCTCGTGTTTGATTTTAAGCATTTCAATTGGAAATCAAGACGACTTCAGTGACTTCATTAGCATAATCCTAGCAGCGATGGCCTCAGGGCTGAGTTGAAGGCTTGTGTAAACTAGTCCGCTCATAACTGGCACAACTGGGTACGGCTACACTGGCAAAAACAAAACAAAACACATTACCTCCTGTCTATTTCTAAGCTCCTTTCCATGACCTCATTTGAAGATGCAATGAGGTTAAGGAATGATGGAGAGAGAAAATCATTTTGACTGCAATCCAATCACTCTCAAGGTGAGTAATCAAAGCCAGACCAAAGATCCCATGAGACCCCACCTCAGATAACGCTTCGTTCTTATGTTATTCCCGTTACATATTCAGGAAGTAAATAATAAATAAAAAGTACGCTAATCATAGAGTAAGACTATAATTTTAAAGTAAAACAAACTTTACTTGAGTACAATTTTTGTCCACATTACCCATCTTGAGTAATTTCTCATGCAAACTCCAACTAGAACTTGATCTAATTAAATTGTCTTGACCTTCCAAATAAAACTGCATCCAATCACTGTTCTCCAGAGATAAGCACTAGAACAAATAAGTAAGCGAAAGCAACAGCCTTCATCATTTACTTATTAATAGCCTAAAGTGAAGCATGCAAGGGACGAGCAAAACAAGTGTTGACTTTCTAGGAACCCATAAAATGCATGAATGGTAAATACAGTGACGACAGATCAGTAACGTGTGGCTTTTTATGTCCTCATAATGACTCTGGGAGGTGATAATATGTCCTCTCTAAAGACAAAACTTTAAACGCTTTACGTTATTGTTTGTAATATTCATCACTTTTTGCTCTGTAAAGGGAGAGTTCCACTGTTTTTTTCCACTCCAAGTCCCTGACGACAGCTGTGGTCCTTGTGGATTCACATGGAGATGGTTGTATTGTTGATTTCGTAGTACAACAGTTGACTGTAAAACCCCCCAAAAAATTTTTACTGACAATTTACAATAAAAGTCAATACACATTAGTTGATATAAACCTAAAAAATAAGAAAAGTTATTTGTTTTCCCATGTTACTCTAAGATACCACAATGTTTAGTTTACTCTTTGATCAATTTGTAATCCTCCTCCAGGGGGCTTTGGTGTACTGTCCTTAGTGAATTAAACTGTTGATGAGAAAAGTACAGAATATCACTTTTGATTAGCACTTTGTCAGCAGCACAAATACTGTCATGTCTGTCAGAGATGACTGCATCAACGCACCTGATATTGTCATCTTTAGCTGACACAAACTCAAAATGCAACCTTTATTTTCGCTTCTCTCTCCACTGTTTACATTTGTGACACGAGATTTCAAAAAGTAAAATAGTTTTTTGTCAAGTAAAGCAACAAAAATAGCAACACGCAGCAATTTTGACGAGTGACTTTAGTTATGACCGGAGTCTTAATGCCACTTCAAGAAAATAAAATTGGAACGGGAAAGTTATAAAGTTACACACGCAAAATCACAATATTGCCAGAATGAAGTCAGAATATTTCGACTTTATTCTCACACACTATTTTCCTAACATTATTCTCGCATGTATGAAATATTCTGACTTCATTTTTGTAATTTTACGACTTTATTGTAGTAATTTTATTTTTTAAATTATATTAGAGTAGCTGTTGTTGACTTATTTATTTGAATGGGGGGGCGAGGCTTCAACTTGGTAAACCGGTCCCCAAAAACCTTGGATTCGCCTCTGCTCGAAGGACAACCGGAGGTTGTTCAATTCAAAGCCATATAAGCCATTTACTCTTTGAATGGAATAAAAATTATCCCGCAGCAAGAACTAATTTGGCCCAGGCTGTGCTGGAGTTATTTATTTTTTTCCTCCTTCTTCTTCTTCTTTTTTTTTTTTTTTTTTTTTGTAGCCCAGGTAGACGCAGCCAATAGGAGCGCAGGAGGGAGGGCCCAGCGGCGAGGAGGCGGTCTGCGGCGCCACAGCCACAGCACACCTTCAGATGGAGACGAAGTAACAGCGGCGGCGCAGCTACAGAAGGACGAAAGCGACCGAACCGCGGATCCCGGACGTGTATTTTTTTTGTGTGTGTGTCTTCTTCCACCTTCTCGCTCTCCCTTCAGCTTTGGGGAGAAGGAGGGGAAAAAACCCCCAGGTGACTGAGACACACCGACCGACCGGCCGGGAGGGTCCATTAGCGGTGACCAGCCTCGCGCACCTTACTACTTACTTCCAGCTGCATGCATTTGGACCCGAACATCTGACAAGCCTCTCGTCCGACCAAGATGGAAAATGCGCACACTAAGTCTGCGAGCGAAGTTTTGGACAACTTCGGCGTGAATGAAATCACCGGGCTGACCCTGGAGCAGGTCCACGCCAGCCTGCAGAAATACGGGCCGAACGGTGAGTTTGTACACCCGCACGAACCCGCGCTCTGGCCCCCCCGCCCGTCCGCTGCGTGGGGCTCGCGTCGATTCCTCCGCCAGGAAATCCCTCAGCCGACGTTTCTGTATGTTCAATGCTGAGGCAGGTAGAGCGAGTAAAAAAAAAAAAAAAAAAACACAATTTCCCCCTCGAGCGCTTATACAAGCTGGACATTCAGTGAAGCAGCCAGGTCTGTTTTAAAGTTGAGGTGTCCTCTGGTCATGCGGGGACGCATCACCTCTAGCTTCCACCCCATTTCCTCCCCTCCCCCTCCTACACTCCTCCATCACCCAGGTTCACCCCCTCCAACACCTCAACCCCGGATCTTTTGTCGGTAGGTGCAGCCGCTGCGTCCGAGAGCGGCAGCCTGGGATCAGGAAGTGCAGAGAGCTGGGTGCCTCAGGCTTCCTGGAAGACTTACAGGAGATGCATCAGACGATGTAACAGGCGATCCTGAACAACCTGTTTTCACTTTCAACAGTCGCTCTGCACATGTTTCCAGTTCACATTGTGCCACAGAGGTTGGAGGGGAGAGGCAGGAGGGCAGTAAATGCCCCCACTGTCTTCCTCCAGGTCCTTGAAAGATAATAACAGTCATAAAGTAGCTGTGTAGGGAAATCGATTCTGTTTAGTCACAGCCCCCCTCCATCATCCTGAACACCACGCTGGTGTTTGATGCATTTCTGGACTCCGACCTGACGTCAACACACCTTTCTGTCCCCCCCTCTGCCTGCCTGTCATTTGCATGTGTGGCCAAGCCGCGGAGCAGAGTGGCACATTGTGCAGGGGCCGAACACTAGCCCTTTTGTTGCAAGCCGGCCTCCTCTCTAAGCCCAGGGGCTTGTGATGACTTCATGGAAAAAAAAGCAAAAAAAAAAAAAAAAAAAAAAAGCAACGTCTTGCCACAGATAACATCTCTTTCGCTTTTAGCTGTGAACTTCCTGCCTTGTGCGAGCGCGTTGCAGGCAAACACTGTATAGTGGGGCGGGGGGAGGAATACCCCTCTTGTTCCCTTTCAGGTTCATGTGCGAGCCAAAACGAGTTAAAGACAGCATTGGGGTGGCTTGGATTAGTTTTTTTTTTCTAGTTTTACTTCTGGTTCGACTGCTCAGTGCCTCCCTTCCCTCTGCTGGTAAACCGCAGGGCTCTGTTGATGAAGCGAGGTGAGCATCTGTTCACATCAGTTTGCAGGGAGTGAGCAGTATGTTGGAAACTCCTGAAGACTCTGCTGTCACCATAATTAGACTCTTGCAGCGATAACTATTAAGTGAAAATGCCACGGTTTCACAGTGTGATGGAATTTACTCGAAAATGTGTCGGTACTGGAAGTGACAGGCTCCTTCACACCCTGGACGACCCCCCAAACCCCCACTGGCAAGGCCGGCTCAAAGTTGTACAACTTAGAAGTCAAACACGTTGTCCACCCGTCACCAAAACAGCTGCACTGATGTCTTTTTATCACGGATCGATTTTGCCCAGGTGTTTAGCACGGCTTGATTAAAGTTAGCTGAATGAGTAATTTGCTTTCTGAAAATGGGGTTTTGTTGAAAGCTTTTAGCAGTTAATACCCTACCATAACGCCCTAAACATTTTTATTTATATATATATTTATATATTTTTTATGGCTGAAGCTAGTTTCTGATCAGAGCAAAGCCTCTTTAATAAATGAATAACTGGAATCTCTAAACGTGCCTTGTCCTTTTTTCCAGACTTGCCATGTGACATTTTAATCATTACTATTATTATTTTTTATACCAGGAAACAATTACAATTTGTTCCTGTTCCTGCTAATCCTGAAAGCTATAAGGCACACAGTATTCCTTTAAAATGATCACTTTTTTTATCTTGTGATCAGTAGCTGACTCTGCACCTTTTTTTTTTTTTTTTTTACATTTGCCTTTTGTTTGATGCAATCTTTGAAAGTGAATATTCTTATTTAGCACAACTGGAAATTAGAGATGCATCGGTCATCCTTTTCTTTTTCCGATTTCAGTACCTAATCTCTTTTGAGGTGTCGATTCAAGTTTTTGACCAAATCAAAATTTTTGTGTGAATTTTTAGCCATTTTGTAGCTGATGACGTTAAAAACACACAAGCCACACTGAGATGAGCAGTAGAGGAGAAAAGTAGCTGTGCTCTTCCTCTACGTTGGAAGAGGGTTTCCTTGCTGCCTCTCTGCATTCGGCCGCAGTCTGGAAGCGGTTTGCTGTCTTGTTAAGCGGAGCTCTCATAGCTCTTTGCCTCTGAAGGTAAAAAAAACAACAACAAAAAAAAAAAACAAAGGCTGAAATGAGATTTTACGTGCTTTCTTTCCATCAGACTTTCCACTCCAAGAAGACAAATCGCAACATCTTTTTCACGTTTATCAGCTTTTGCTGTGTTTTTTTATTTCCCCTCCCTCCATGTGATGCCGGGAGCGCCCCTCAACCCACCCACCCACCTTCAAACACACAATTGGATTTTTTTTCCTATGATCTTGGAAAATGAGCTTAGCCACACTGGCCGGGTGACGTTACGCTCACAGTTAATGCTTTTCTAGGAGCTTCCCTGCTCTTGGTGTCATTCATTTAAAGATGCATTTATCTAATTCTGCTGCCAGGTTGTACGAGCACCTCGTTTTTACCACACGTTTTAGCACCTTCATTGAGAAATGGCTCCTTCTGATGTACTAGAGCGGGAAGGTAGTCTCACTTCCACACACTGATGCACACACTCTGTTTCTCTGCAGGAAGGAGGCTTTGTGGTGTGCGATTGTGTCCTGTGTGCCCCCAGCCCTTATTTCGAGGGTGCACTCTGTTCATTTTCGAAGCGTTTCAGTAAAAAGGAATATGGCCCCCTTGAGAAATCAGCCTTTTTTGTCCTGAACCTGGCGGCGGGTCTCCCGATGGCCGTCCTTAAATGATTGCGACGCTCGGATGAGTGGAGAATTCCCTAATAGAGGTTCCTGTGTCCCGGCTTCAGTTCTTCACACGGCTGAATGCTATTGCGCCAGAGAGGAGTGTTTGTCATTATTAATATCGTAATTTCCTCTCTCTCTGCGTTGCTGTGCAAGGATGAGGAGTCATGAAGATTTTAGAGGCTTGTAAAAATTAGACGGGACCCTCCCACACGAAGACCCATTATGCAACACAGTCGGATCGGGCACTTTGCGTCGCGATGGAAGCTCTTCTAGTAGGCATGGAGCGATTGCCGGGCGGCGGGTAACGGTTTCTAACATTTTACGTCAACGTGTGAGATACCCGAGAAAGCGCCGGGGTGACCGGAGCTGACTCTAACGCAGCGCTGACCCTCCCACACCTGTTGCTGCATACTGCTGGTCAGCCGGCTGGCGACACAAACGGTTTGGAAATGTTTTCAAACATGTAGAGTCACGATGTGAAGACTGAAGGAGCTACTCCCATTAATGAGGCGGGGTTCATCTAGTGGTAACAAGGTTTTTGAAACTGGGTTCAAAGACGCAAATATGTTCCTTCCTACTGTTCCCATGGTTTAAAGTCCTTTTAATGAGATGCAAATATGACTTTTTCTTATGTTGTTCCAGTTACAAGAACTGTGAACAATCATTGTGTGCAAATAATCGGAGAGCCACCTACTGTACTCATTAAAGTAGAGCTGTTTTACTTAAACACTGACCAAATTTAGCAGGTTTTAGCTTTTTGATGGTCTGTATGAATTATAGTCAAGAGTTGGGTGTAGTTGTGATTGTTATAATTGGAATTGTCAATATGTTATATGATTTTAGCCAGAGACGTAATGTTTAAATTATTGTGGCCAAGTTCCGATCTCTGGTTTTGTTAGAGATCAATACCCAATTATGATAATAAGTAGGAAATACGTGCTGTGGAAAAATGTGGAACATCTGACCTTATATTTAATGTGTCCTAAAGGGGAGTGAAATTAAATGCGGCGTCCTCTGAGTATGCTAACAGCAGACTAGCATGAACCAGTTTGTAGAATTATTCAAATCGACTTGATAATGTTAAGCATTTTAATTCAGATTTTGTTTTTCTGTAAATATAGTGAAACTGCTGTGTTTTTCTCAGGTTACTGTTCTGTGCGGCTGAATCTTAGGTCGTTGCCTGACTTTCTAAAATGTCATGAAGGCAAAACTCAAACTTTTTCATACACTGGAAGGCTGCGCTGTGCCACTCTGCTTGCATCAATTTAAAGTCTTCTCAGATGTTCCTATATTTTTTGCCTGTTTTCTCATCATAGCCTGCAGGTTGAAGTCTCCCTGCTTCACTTCTGAAATGTTGCAGCACTCTGCACGCTTTTGCTTCTGCCACAAATAATAACTACAACTTCCTCTAGTAGTCTGGCGGGATCTCTGTCATGATGTCGTTTCTCTTCCTGTTCTGCAACTCAACATCAGTGCGGTCTGACTTTATCGCTCTCAAGTTTGAACTACGAGATACGTTGTGCCGCTTCCTGCTGCTCCTCCTCCTCCTCCTTCGCACCAGAGCGACTGCACATTGCTTCTGACCGTGCGGCTGTCAGCTGCTAAAAGAAACAGAAAAGGTGTCCGGTGGAGTTGGTGAAACGGCGTGAACAGTGTTGGCACTTTGTGGGCTGAGAAGGGACAGTTAGGGTTAGAGAAAGCTAAACTTGAAGCTGTTTGCAGGGGGGGTTGAGTCACTTCCCTCTTCTAGTTGGCTCTTGTGTGTATCTGGCTTCAGATGGAGCTGTGATCCTGTTCTAGCTCGTCACTTCTTCCCTCCCACCTCTGCATCTGTCACAGCCGTATGCTGTTGATGATGATGATGATGATGATGTTGTTGAGTAAGAGTCCGGTCTTCTGCAGAGAAAAAGTAAGACGAGGTGTTTTATGCAGCCTGGGTGTTTTTAGGGTTTTGTGCAGATCGATGAGCTCTGGGCGGAAATGTTTTGAGTATATTTGGAGCCAGATGGTATATATGAATGTTTCCAAAATAAAGCGACGGCCGAGCATAGCATGCAGATGGAAACAGTGCGAACTGACG